TTAGACACAAGGTCCACAACATCCACTGAGAATGTCTAGCACTGGTACTAAGTTGACCCTAACCAACCAGACCATCCAATTGATCCTGGAGAAGTCACCTCAAAGCCACCAATGTACAGGAATTCAAGGTCAAAGTGACGTGTTAAAGTGCCACCAACGTATAGGATCCATCAATGATACCCTTCAACCACCAGGACACTCTCCTCCCCGTCATGGGTTGCCATGCACAGCAAACACGTGGGTGGATGTTCCGATCCCAGAGGAGGTAAACTGAAAATACAGAACCTTCCCTGGGAGGTCCCCTCACCATGTACAGGAATCCACCTCAAGGGGTGTTTATTGAGTCAGAATACCAGGGAATTGAAGGAAGATTGTTAGCAAGCAGACTCAGCCCAAGTAGTCAAGGAATTTGGAACATCCCCACTGATTAGTGCAGTGAGATAAGGGGCAAGACTTGGGTCAAGGAGAGAGAGAACGAAGGAAAACAGCCAAACTGAGGACATTCTAAGAAAAGAGAAACCAAAAAAAAATAGACTGCAGAGGAAGAAATAGAAGCCAAAGGGGCAAATAAATAAGAATAGGTGGCCCCACCAAGACAAATCATGGTCATGACAAACAGCCACAGTGAGGAGCTGAAGGGTGGAAATACAACAAAGGTGTGAAGATAAAATGAAGATAAGCAGACTGCAAAGAAAGAGAGAGAAGAGCACCCCAAGCAGATAAAAGGAACACAAGAGATTGTGGTTCTAAAATACAGAAGAGTCATGACCTTAGGTTATAGCAAAGGAGTCACAAAGATAAGGACAAGGAAGATGATGATCAATATGGAAGTGGGACAGAAGTAGAGCTATCCAATACTCATTATGATATTCAGGCAAACGAGACTGAAAGTCACATACCAAAGTTATGAGCAAACCAAACAGAAAAGGACGAGATACCTGTCCTCAATAGAGGTAGAATAGCCAGAAGCAAAGAGCTGGTCAAAACTGCCTACAGGTGAGGCAGACTCCACAGAAGGAAATGAAACAGAATGATGATGGACCCAAAGTGGAAAAAAGTAGGCAGAAGGGAATCAGCTACCTGATGCTGAGAGTGGTAACATTATATTTGAAAAACATTGGCATCTTATAAGGCTATGGTAAACTATATCATGATTCACCACAGCCTTATAAGATCATGGTAACTTAATTTGTCCATAATAATCACTATACCTCACCACAGATTCAACTCTAAGACCTATCACACACCAGGCATTTGTTCTACTAAGTGAGCTAAAGAAATAACTACTGAATGTCAGCTTCATGAACAGATAAGGTTGTCACTGTTGACATAGTTGGAGACAATGGCTGAAGGCACTGGCCAATCAGCATTGATCTGTTGACTGGTAATCAGGTGATGCCCTCCCACCACATCACAAACTACATTAATTTCAGAGAAAAAAATATTCTAACCATAATACAGCAATAAAAATTTTACAGTTAGCAAATTTTGTTAGATGGGTCAGTATATCAGCAGAAATTGAAGATAATAAAAATTTCACAGGTCATAATGTCAAAAAGATTTCTGTTAGCCCCAATATCAGAAAGTCGGTCAGGTTACAGCAAACAGAAATATTTTTAAGCCTTGTCTTATCAGTTAGCTTATGAGACTTAAAGTGTATTCCACCTGAAATTTATGCTGCTGTAAATGTATTCTCTAAAAGATCAATCACATCCATTCTGTTACAACTGATATGGTTTTTCATATGTGCATTCATCACTTCACAAGTTGGGTCCAAACTGCTTTCTGTTTAGGTGATCATTGCAGCAATGGGCTCCCAAACAAATACATGGGTTTGTGCTTCAAGTTTTACAACTGTCAGCTGAACTATTTGGCATGACTGCTGCCCACTGACCTTACATTTTTGTACAATATGGATTGTTTGAGAATGCACACGAATGGGGAATAACCTGATACCCAGTATTTGGAGTAATAATACTACTGATTAAATTTGGTACAAAGGACACCATCTTTATGAAGGTATCTTCTCCCTCTATGTTCACATTTCATAACAAATGTTTCTTTTCCAGCAAATAAAGCTGGATATACTGTAAACATTATTTACTAAAACTAAAGGCCCTGATTTTGGCTACATGCTGTTAATTAGAATTACATTTGGTGGAATCAAAATAGGGATTTGTAGTTTGAGTAAGTAATGTCTACAGTATATCCATCCTTGTTTCCTTACTTTTTTTTATGATTCACAATTGTAGGTTTTTAAATTTTCAATTTTTTTATTTACCATGTTTGCTGGATATTTTTATGCTCAACTATGGGCAAAGGATTACTTGATATGATAGCTAACTTTGTAATGATAATAAACATAGCTAGTAGCTAGCTGACATGGTTCATGATGAGTTACTGTTACTGTTTGCTATTTGATTGCATTAGTTCAAGATATAAAACATTAAGCTGCAGCCGTAGATTGTCATGGAGATTTCTTTGAGAATATAGTGAGCATTTATAGTTTCTCTGTAACTAAATTTTCTATATAGAATACATAGCAATGGGCAAATATATGTCAAAACTAAGACACAACCCACACTAAATGTGTATAAAATTTTACCAGTAGAAGAGCAGTCTTTTCAAATAAAACATGTACATCTAAAACATCATTTAAAAAAAACTGTTGCATCTTTGAAGGTAATTATTCTATGAATGTGTGTAATAAAATTTAATATTATGTGTATTTTTCTTTACTCCTTCACTTCATACAAAATACAGGGGCTGGCTCCCTAAAGACACTGACTGTATAGTGTACAAACCATTGAGTATCTACATGTTATAGTCATCTAATGTCCATCTATTATTGGCTGGTAATTCTTGTTTCACCTTGGCTGGTAAGAAAGGGGTAATGATGACGTTGTTTACACTAGAATTATGATGTTTTTTAGCTTATGTAAAATATAGAAGAAGCAAATTGACTTTTTAATATCCCTATGACCTTTGCAGTACCTTATTTAGTATTTTATAAAAGGTTTGGGTATAATATACCAAGCCATATTTGTTGTAGGCTAATAAGAGAATAATAATAATATGAAGAATTACAAATGGGCCATTTTGAGTGGATTTTTTTTTCCTTGTAAATCTAACATGCATGCTTTATTTCTGCCTTTTTATATGTATACAGCTTTATCAGTCAATAGTAAAGGTTTTAAAGTGTTGTTTGAACTGAATCTTTACTGTTTAAGGTGCTTTTTGCCTGAATATTCTATAAGTGTTTTGTGCAATTCCTTGCAATCTCTATTAAGAACCAATATCGTGATCCGTGATAATAAATTTCAATGTGTAACCATGTGATTGGCTCCACCAAATAAGTTGTGGTTACTTGGTTACACCACAAGATTTAACACTCCAATACATTGAAAAATATTAATCTTGATGCATTAGTATAAAGAATATTTATACGACAAAACACCCAGCAATATTTTAAAATAATTTCTACATCTTACAATGATAAACAACATACCAAAGAATGAAGCTGTTTAAAGATGTATAAAAAAAATTACCTTATAATGGCACAAGTGGATCTACATATGATTCAATATAAATTACAAAATATGGATGTAGCAGTAGACAAGTTTATTTCTGCAAATACATCTTATGGTAGTTTTATTAAAGGTGAAACAATATTCATAGCAAATATTAATTTCTGGTCATCACTAGTAAGTACAATTCCCATGTTATAGGCATTTATATTTTCAATTCATAAAACTCCTGCAAGCCCTGATATAATATGCCAAGAAATGTAACACACAAACTCTCCTTTGCTCTGTTAAATAACTTCTTCATTGACTTAAACATAATAAAAGAGTCTCTACCTTTTATAAAGAACTATTTGTCTGCATATAAAGTAAGATAGATATGGAGTTTTATATTAATACAGGTATATCTTTTCACATCATCCTAACTTGTGGTTCAGCTACAAAATGAAAACTTCCATCAAATGAGAATGCCATCAATAACATTTATTCTATGTGGTCATTCTCCTGAATTATTTAATGAACTTGATATTGCTTAGCTTCAAGAATTAAACTAAAATGTTACTTTTTTAAATCTGTAAGTAAAAAGTATATAAAATTCTGTTAATAAATACTGAAACATAAAACCTTTAAAATTGTATTTAATTACAATGATTGTTTGTTTGTTTTTGAGTTTCGCGCAAAGCTACACGAGGGCTATCTGCACGCCGTCCCTAATTTTGCAGTGTAAGACTAGAGGGAAGGCAGCTAGTCATCACCACCCACCGCCAACTCTTGGGCTACTCTTTTACCAACGAATAGTGGGATTGACCGTCACATTATAACACCTCATAGCTGAAAGGGCGAGCATGTTTGATTCGAACCCGCGACCCTCAGATTGCGAGTCGAGCACCCTAACCACCTGGCCATGCTGGGCCAATTACAATGAAGCTAGCACTAATAAAACAAGGCTTGGCACTTTAAAATATGAATGAAATAATGTCTTTTTTAATGACTTAATGCAAAACAAACTACATCCCATGTGCACCTTACATATTTGTAAAACTAAACACTGGAACAAAGCAATGCTTTCAAGATCAAATTTCCTGTTAACATGTTAAATATGAATAAAACAAGATAAAAAAAAAAATAAAACCTCAGGGAGTGCAGGGAGCAAGAAATATTGTAATCTTTATGTTGTCCTATCCACAAAATAAAAAAAAACATTCAGAATTTTAAAATTCACAATAAATTGCCTTTAAATCAAGAAATTTATCAAACAGTACAGAATTCCTGTTAAGCTTTAGAAATAAAACATTTTATGAGAAAAACAATAAGCAAATCTGTGTGAAAAACATTCAGTTCACATTCCTGAAGGGTTCTGAGATGAGGTTAAGACAGATGAATCATAAACAGGATGTTAATGAAGCCCTAATTAGCTGTAATTATGGAAAAATAGTGTTGTACAAAAAGAAAACATATAAAAAACACAACAATTACCTTAATGTATATGAATATACGAGAGAGACTGTTTAGCATTTTTCAATATGTATTGGTGGAAACTCATCACTGGATACGACATAGATGATGTGAGAAGTGTTTCTCTGTTTAGATAAAATAACAGAGCAAGTGTGATTCTACTAAGTTATGATTTGTTTGAAATACACTATATCAGGTAATACCTTTTGAAATACTATAAAAACCTTACACCAGCTTCCTCAGATTCAATGTAGATATCTTCTCCAATTTTTGCAAGAGCATGAATTGCACGACCAAATACTGCAAAAAAAAAAAGCAAAAATCACTTGAACAAACACAAAAACATGCTTCAGATACATATCAATATACAGATTACAATATTAGCAAAAAGTCTTCCAGTGGCTGAGCCATTATGTCTCCAAATCAGTGCTTAAAATGTACCCATTCAGTATAACTTAAATCTCTTTAATGAGAACCATGACACTTGCCATTTTTATGTCTGCCAGCCATGGATATTATAGCTGCTAGCTACTCTATAACTTTTTCAATAATATTCAAAGTTAACATTTTACTTAATTGAAAATTTATTTCTGATAGATACTCTCCTCCATACACAGAAGGTTATTTTCCTCTTGAAGTCAAGCTAATATCTTTCATATCTTTTTAGACCTAAATAGAGCTTAGTTATTACGCTTGATAAATTATAGTGGAATTCTATGGTATTGATATAGTAATTTATGATTTTTTGGTTATTAA